GTAGATAAAAGGTGCTGACGCCTCTATTATTCTCTTACTTAGGTGACCCTTACCCCGTTCAGCTGATCCCAACTACCATGGCAGCTGCTGCCGCAGCAACACCAGGCCTCGGCCCGCTCCAACTGCAGGTAAGTCCGGAGACAATGCGCGACAGGCAGAGGTTAAGTAAATATGAAAACCAGGTTTTTTCTCTTCCCTTTGAACACAATGCAATTAACAGGGGTTTTGGTCTCTTCCCTCCGCATAAAATTTGCATCTGCAGCACAACAATCGCCCAATCGCTTACATTTTCCTTTTACCTTGAGGGAACTTCTTGTGACATTTTTGTGTCTTTATAGTCAACCTGAGTACTTCTAGGTTTGTACTCCCAGTTTCCGCAGAGCAGTGTGTTTGCTTCCCTTTTCCATTAGATAGTTCTGATGCAGGCTGTGAAGGCATCAGGCTAGGTGTAAAGCAGCAAAAAGCTCTGTCCTGACAAGCACTTTTAAACTGCTTAAAAGTCGCTTAACGTGATTATGTCCTTTTAGGCTGTAAGCTCTTCAGAGCAATGACTGGCCCCTCCTACAGTGTTTTATGGCACCCAACACATTTTAGGCACTGCTGTAGTGCACATAATTAGCGATTATTCTAATTTAACATAGGCAATTAGAAAACAGGTGGAAAGATATTAAAGAATTTTTTTGAGCTATGTTAAAGAGCTGCCCTGGTAGCCAAATGTATGTGGTTCAAAACTCTCAATACCGTTGTAAGTGTTGGGTGTGTCAGAATGTCCCTGGCTCTTAATGACAGCAGTGCAGATGTTCCTCAGGTATTCCTGGTCAGCCCCACAACCCTTGTCAAGTCTTCGAAATTAAGCAAATGCAACGTCCATCACCAAAGTTTGAATTTTGTTGCCCGCCATGTATGCTTTGCTAGTAGGAGGAAGCTGGGTAAAATTTGGGACTAAAATGAGATCAAGATCCAAATCGTCTCTCGTTCTGCAAAATCTGGATTGACACTCTTTTGTAGATGCAAACAAAAAAATCCCATACTCTCCATTGCTAATTCGTCTCCCCGCTCATTATTATTTGCCAAGTCACATGGAACAGCAGAGCTTTATACCTGCTTGGAAAAGCGCAGCATTTATAAACAGTACGTGTAAAATGCGTTCTCAAACTCAGTTTGGCCCGCAGCAGTATGAAGTAGACTCTGCAACAACAGATATTTCAGTTGTTTGGCCAGCGTACGAGAGCGTGGGACATAGTTCTGCGGAAGATTTTTTTAAATTTTATTTTAACACAGCCAGCGGAAGTTAGCTGAGTTTCACAGAAATAGCTGCCAGTGTGTAAGCTGACACATTCCATGCACCACAGAGGTTAATACATTCATTCCTATTGTGCCTTTGTATGAAAAGCGACACTGTCTGTGTGTTAGTTTCTGATTCTGTGAGTTACAAATACCGTAGGCGGCTTAAGAATCATGGAGCCATAAAAGTCATCCCTCTGAAATGAATTTTGAGGAGTAACATCAGTATTGATAAAGTGCTTATAATCGCCAAACACACATGCACACACATATGGAAGAAAGGGGGGAAAAAATGAAGCTAGCTGGCAATGAGAAAATAGAGGTTTCAGTCTAATTCTCCTTATTTCTGCGGTCATTCAAGACAGTCCTACAATAATTCATCAGTACTCTGGTAAGTTCAGGGGATGGTTTACTTTCATTTCAGAGACCGGCTTTGGGCTGTATCTCTGCATGCGATGGGCTGAAGTATTCTGATTAAAACATGCTTTATCACAGTGACAGTTTCCTTATTAATAAGTGGGCTTTGTGCAAATGTGACTGGCTTCATAAGTATCTTACGATGAGTTCAGGTTGTGGAAAACTTGAAAATGTCAAAGGCCTCTTGTTTCTGTGCAAAGGAGAACATTAAAATGGAAGTGTTGACCAAATTCACTTATGTTGTTTTGGTACATGTTATTTAGTCTGGAATCAAAGGTGGAGTTTGGCAGCGAGTCAGTGGGAGAGGTTCAAGTTACTAACTCTGTAGACTCCTTCACATCTTTCAGACCTGATCTCTAAGGTTATGTATATGCTGGAAAAAGTTAAAGTTGTCATTCTTCATGTCTCAGCAGTGATTTTTAGCTATCAGCACAACCTGTCTAATAGAAATTGGACATGCCTCCTTATTTCTGGTAATATTCGAAAGAGTTAGAGAGGCTAGATGGGTTTTGAGAAAGGTTTTATGATGCAGTACTCGGACCGAACTCTAACCCATGCTAACATGAGTGGAGCTGAATCTAGCGTAGCTGTTAGCCTAGACGGATTGTGCCTTCCAAACTCTGTTCAAATCCCGTTTAGCTCGGTGATGACTGTTTCTTCAGTCATGAAGAAACATTCCTGATGTTTGTCATGAAGAACTCGTCCAAAACCATCTTAAATGGCATGAGTGAATGTGCAGCCATTACAGTCTCTTTCAAGGAGGAACTCTTCTTACTTCAGACATTCCCCTACCTTACATATAACCATAGCGTTCCCTACAAACCCTCTGTCATCTGGTCATCAGACAGTAGAAGGTCAGAGAAGTACAACGTTCCTTCTTTTATTCTTTTTCTATCCTCCCTATCACTCATCTTTCAGGCTTTGTATACTAAAAGCAGTAGTTTTCAGGGGAGATCAAAGAACCTGACGCAGTGCTCAGTTTGTTGCTCCCAGCAGAATCTGGTACACAACGTTATCTTAGTGAAGACAAAGCAAGGAATTTCTCTTGTTTGTTTGTACAGCGATAAACATGTCTTTGTTATTTCGTTAAGAGAATTTTAAGTCAGGGAATGGCTTTACTAGTGTCCTGTGAGATCAACAGGAAGTACTTTTTTATCCCTGGCTGTCAAAATTGAATTTTCTTTTTGTAAATTAAACACACGCTGTACTTATAGTACAGCTAACACCTGATTGTTTTCCTGTGGCAAAGATACTCTTTGTCAGTGAAAAAGTAATCTCTCATTTTGAAATGCCCTGTTGGCTCCCACTGATGGGTTCGCAGTCTGAAGTCCCCCGATCTCTCGCTGACTTTGAGTCCCCACTGGGCCATACGGATTCTGTCATCTGATACCCGCCACGGTTAGCCGTAAGCGAGTGCCTTTATTTCCAGTATCCACAGGGAGACTAATGACTCAGTAAGAATGGAGACTAAAACTCGCATTGTTTGATGTTGCAAAAGGAGTAGATGGATGGGGCTGTGTTGGAAAAGCTGGAACGAACACGATGCATGCTTGAACCTGTCCTCTGATGAAGGGCTGCATATTCGCTTATACCCACATTTGATGACATAAATGCCATTTGTAATAAAAGAAAGTTTTTAGCTTTCCTCTGTTAATGAGAAGATTCAGTCTCGAACATGGTGTGAAGAGTCATTTTAAAATACATCCTGCAATGGTGCAAAATCCCTCTTGGACAGCACGTGGGACTCTTACGTTGCTTTCTTCCCCTGAAAATTTCAGAGAGTTTTTTTTCTTCAGGGGTGACGCAGCATGGTGATTCTGTTTCACATGAACGAGAACAAAACTGAACATAGCCTCGGCACTGTGTTTTACTAAATAAGGCTAATAAATCGAAAGTACTGCTATGTGCCGTATATGAACATGATATTTTCCTATACGGTTCAGAAGATGAAGGAATTAAATGCCTTCATCTTGAGGAGCAACGCTCAAAGCTGTAAGGATGGATATCATGTAACGTGTCTTACACAAAGTAAACTGATTATTCTGATAGTGGTCATCTTGGGCATGCCTAGTATGAACTAGGTGTTTCTAGAAGTCTGGGCAAATTCAGTATAAATTAATACCTGGTGGTTTCTTTTCTGAGGAAAAAAGTAATTCCTGAGTTCTTTCTGATCTTTAGGAAACAAAGGACCTGATGGCCTGATCTGAAAATTGAGAGGAATCTGCACCATTGGGAATGCGAATGGTTCAGATTTCCCAGATTGTTTATTTGATAACCAAATAATGACAACGACTCGTTAATTGGCAGTAGTACAAATGCTGCATATACCCATAACTATACTAAAAGATAATGCTGGATGCATAATGACAGCTGCCTGTGTAGTGTTACAGGACATGTTGTGTCCTGTCAAAACAGTAGAGCAGTCTGATGTAATACAGGCTTCCTGCAAACATCTGCTCTTGGAAAAACACCCCAAAAAGTTTTGAGTGCCCACGTTCAAATTTTCTTCTTCCTTCCTCTTAGCATGGAACAGGACATTGTGATTATTGGCGGCTGTGTTCGACACTGTGACCAAACCTGTCACTGTGCAGATCAGGAAAACTTCATGATGGCATATGAGTGTGAAAGCATTTTAGCTGGGTCTCGGTTCTGAAGACCAGCCATTTGATGAATCCCAGTAGATTCCTTTTGGCTGTTTGTATAAAGATGATGAGCAGATTTAGACTTCAAACATACCTGGCAAAAATAATTTGGCCAGGTTTTTTAGTCTGCACTTTCTTTGTTAAGTCCTTGGGTCCATTTTTTTTTTTTCTTCCTACAAACCTGTTATTTTCAGTGGTGTGGGAAGATGCATACCAAGGACTGAATTTCAGTGGAATTTAGTATACATAGCCTGGACCACATTTTTAGACGGACTTAGGCCATTTTCAGGGATTGAGCAGTGACACAAGTGGCTAGATGCTGAGAAAAGGTAAACCCGTTTGGAGTTTGAGTGCTTCTCAAAGCTGTTCATCTTGCTGTTATTTGGGTGTTTGACTCATTACAAATTTTCGTTTGGAAAACCTTGCTGTTAGATAGCTTAAGGGTCACATAATCATCTGTGGTCTCCATGTTTGTTTTGCTTAAAGGAAACAGAAAGGATAGAGCCGTTTAACAAGTATACAATGACTGATCAGAAGATAGACTGTTCCAGTGGTCATATGAGTATGACATAAAACATCTGTTGCCTATGAAACAAAAATAAAGCATGAGGACTGTCTGCACAGTCAGATACCTTTTTTTTTTTTTTCTTACATACTAGCTTCCTTTTGGCTTCTGCACCATTGCAGGGATGAGTTATTTCTCCTGAGTATCTCCTTAAGTTTCATTCAAAATGTTGGTGATGATAAAATTTCCCTTGTAAAGAGATAACATTATATTTTCATGC